AACCGGTTGCCAGAGCCAATCTGCCATGTGTATTCCTACACATCCCGATTAACATGGACAACAAACGTCCTGCTACAAGCCTTCCTACAGACGCCCCAGCCAAGCTAGACAGCATATGATCCGGGTAACCTGAAACAATAGGCACAGCCGAGTCTACTGTCTGGGGCACAATACGGAGAGAAACGGAGGAGTGTGCACTGAACCCTTTGTTTGAAGGGGCTACTTCCAGCTGACTTTAGGCACATGCTCCTCTTTTGCAGAAAATGCCTAAACACGAACTTTGCCAGCGACGCAATCACAGGCAGGGTCGCCAGCTGCGGTGAAATGGCAAACCAATCCATTTCAGTCACGCCTCGACCTGCCGCGTTGTCTGCAAGTTCGCTTTGAGACGGCGCTCAGAAGTGCTGTGATTCTAGTTTCTCCCGCAACGGATGTTTGGCATGTCTGCAACATCGCGTCTTTTGTCTGTCACATGCAGGCGGGCTTCATGCCAAAAGCATACGGAGGAGGCGCCACAGACCGCGGCATGCGAAGTACCGTTACCTGCTCGAGGACAGAAACGGCCGTGACGAGATGGAGCCAAGCCGAGTTGAACACAATACAACGGCTGCGCCTCGAGCTCTGTACCATCTTCCTCTCAGAGCCAAATATACGTTAAATCAATGCCAAAGTATGCAGCTTTGATGCAAATTGGCTGCCAAGATGCTGCAGTCTCGAGAATCCTGATATCTGCATCCTCCCGAGCAACAGTTTCCGTTTGGCTGCAACGACTTTGCAGGCATTATCGCTGCAGTCCTCTCCATTGATTTTGAGGATAAGATCATTCTCCCGCAGGGTTTCTTGAGGATTTGCCTGGTTGTGCTCGTGCACTGTGCCTCCAGTTCAAAGCGGGAACGCAAGATTCGGCACCTACTAGGGTGCTGTCGCTCTTGCAGGCGCCTTCTGGCATGATCTCTATTATTCGCCAAAGATGATCACCACGCTTTGCAAGCTTCCTCTGTCGTTCATGCATGAGAATTAACGAGCAGACTGACGAATATTGTGCCAGCATCAAGCGGCCAGACCGAGTGCAACCAAGATGCAGTCCATACTTCCCCTGTTTGGTGAGCTTCGCCTTTGTTGACAGAAGGCGCTACGGCCCGTACCGCGCTTTTTGTGCTATCCAAGGAGCCGTGATCTGATGACCGCCGGACACCTTGAAACAGAGCTTGCAAGAACAATCTGCCCACATGCAGCGAGCTGCAGGCAAGCTGAGCCCAAAATCGTCGCATGGGTTCGACGTTTGCAGTGCCGGCGAGCTGCGTCCACATCCCGATGCTGGCGGCGCTCAGTGTCGCTGTCTCGCCTTACCTGTTCAGATTTAAGGTTTGGGGCCTGGCTGGGTCATGAAAGGGCCAACTTCTCCCCACAAAATCAAAGGCAAGGCAGCTCCCGGCCTTTGTTGAAGCTGCACTTGTCCCACTCGCGATGGGAATGGAAGATTTTGGTGCACCTGCTGCTGTTGTTCATGATTGTGTTGAGGATTTTGAGGTCTCAGGTAAAGGAGACCATAGAACCACAACGAAAAAAGGTGGGGGCCATGTCGGATACAGCTCCAGCACGCGGTTTGCGAAAGGGCAGGGTGCTTTCACAGAATAAGTCGATCACTGTCAAGTGATCACTGTCAAGTTGCACAACTCCAAGACTAGGATTTGGGGGCGGCGATTTGGTCCTAAAATCTAAAGGCGACAGCATGCAGTCTGGAATTTCTGGCTGGAACGATTTTGGATTGGCCCCAAGTACAGAAGGCAGGGGTGTAGTCTAAAGCTTGAGCAGGAATTCGGTCTGGAAAGATGTTACGGCCCCAAAACGTAGTCTACGACCGAAAGCGGCATGCTGTGTTTCGTTGCGCAGGACAAAGGTTTTGTTGTGTTTCGTTACATAGTTACTCTCTCCACTGTTTGTCAAATTGCCTTCCTTTTGTTTCCCACGCATGCGTCCAAGTTTAGGGTCAGGCAATGCAGTACACCACCGACTCGCACCCGCCTGTTGCTCCATCAGCGCTCGCTCCAGAACCCATTTTGAGTCGCTGGATGCGTTTGCAATTTGCAATGCCTCTAGAGCTCCTGCAGTTCTCCTCAAGCTAGCCTTTCGAGTCTTGTTTTAAAGAAGGGCTAAACAGTGAACCGAAGATCATGTTGAGCTGGATAGGGGCTACGACTCCAGTCCTACTCAGCTTTCTGGCAGCTTGCCATGCTGTTCATAGGCTCAGAACCCTTGAGCTGAGAAAGGCTTCTTCGATGCTCAAAGGTGGCAGCAGGCAACCCCTTTTGAACTGAGTCTTCGGAGTGGCGCCCCATTGGACAAGCAGGTCAGCCGGACTTCGCTTGGAGATGCAGGGCCGGCCAAGGGACCAAGGCTCCATACGAAGGCTCCATGCAATCAGAGCGTGTACCATGAAATCCTGTTGCTCTGCATTTGGCCTCTGTCCATCGTATCTCTTGCACAGCACATCGCTGCGTGAAGGTTGCCAGTGCAGGCTGATGGGCCAAGCTGGATGAAACAACAGACACGTAAGCCACAGATAGTGCTAACGCAAACTATGAAAACCTAGGCAAGACCACCAGAGTCTTCTCAAGAGCTGTGCCGCCTTCCCATTTCCAGCAGGCACATGCCCTCCGCAATGGCATAGAGTTTGGGCAAAAGCAGAGACCTCACCAACAAATTCGGCAAATCGTGACAGAGCTTGCCCGCCCAGCTGATCATAACCGAGCCTCGCCCCATCAGTCTCCGCTGCTTTCCAGGGCTGCGGCCTTGCTGGGCTGTGTCATCAAAGAACGTTTTCCCCTTGATCTGATCGAACTGGGCTGTGGCAGGCCCAGTTTGCGAGTGGCTCGAACACCAAGGAACACCTCTCATCTCTCCATGACAGTCTCCGCCAGACTTCCCGCAGCTTCCCGCATGCTTGCAGCGCCGGCCTCCGAGATGCTGACTCCATTGCTGAGCCAGTCCAGGCAGGAATACCTCTGAACTGGAGCAAACGGGGGCTGCTTGTGACGTCATTGGCTTCACCTGCTGGGAATGCCTAAGGCAATTCTCTCCTCGGGCCCGGGCACGACGTATGCCACGATGAAGAGGGCCCCAGTGCCAGTGGAAGCCACAGCTCGGATTTGCTGGGTCACGGCCGACCTCTTTTGTAGCTCATAGAGGTAATGGTTCTGGCGCGTGACTACTCGTTCTTACACAGAAGTTCTCGATTACACCCTGAGGCAATGTCTCATCAAAGATGTAGCACAGGCCGGCGATGGCAAGAGTAATGTACCTCTGACAGCAGTCCTCTAGAGTTGCCTAATCCAGCAAAGAGACGAAGAATTCTCGGGGGGTCACAAGCTTCGATAGTTCCTGCCGCAATTCACTCGCGCAGCTGCCTCACAGGCACCTGTCACTGCGCTACTCGCCAGGAGCAGCCCAGGATATTCCTTAAAGCGACGGGTGAATGAAGAGTCTGTGCGAATGAACCTTCACAACATAACTAAGCCAAGCACATTGCTGACTAAGTGAGCTTATTGAACAGCACACAACATGCATGCTGCCCCAAGCATTGCGAGCAAGTTTCCAAGGGATGAGCTGACAGGAATCGGGAAATTGCCACACGAGCTTCGACGCCGCGATGCCTTGGCCGAACCAGCCACCATGGCCTGCCACAAACATGCTGCAATTACGCTGCAAACCAGCTGCGCACCTTTTTCAGTACAGCAGCCCTGGTGGTGCCTTGTGCCATTCGAGAAGACATGCAGCACCAGATGTGCCAAGCCCAATAGAGATGCTGCAAAAGCCGCAGCAAAGGCCACTTTTTGCCCTGCAGGTAGAAAATCGCAGAACATCTCAGCTTAGCGTGGCACAACGAGGAGTGTTGCGCCATGTTGCACAACCACCCCTTGCCGCGCTTGCCTCTTCTCAGCTGTGCCAAGCGGGATGGCTGCACACCTTCCTGCACAGCCTCGGACACCTGCACTTGTTGGCTGCTCCTTCTCCGCCACACGCCACACTCAGGGGCCCATGCCTCCAGAAGTTTGAACGCGCGCAGCCTTGGACTCGACACCCTGCTTCCCGGGCAAAGCCTGGAATCAGGAGAAGGTGAAGGGACGAATCTCGGAGTGCCTGTGCAGGTGTCTGTGGGACCTCCGCCGATCAATCTGCTGGACCTTGGGAGGCGCCAGCGTCGAGGCTGAGCACGGATGGAATACTGTGGCACATTGTGGCACGTTCTGGCATATTATGCCACGTAACTCATGTCATGTTTTGTAAATCCCTAAAACCTAAACACCAAACATCTGAGGCTGCAGACTGCCAGGGCACCACCTCCCAAAGCTGCTCTCGGCCTTCTGCTCCGCTGTGGGCATTGGGACAGGGACTTGGGACTTCTATTCTTGGGGGGGGGGGGGGGGGCGCAATTAGTATCTTCTCATATCATGATGTTAACATGATTCGCTGAGCATATTGACACAAAATTTATACATTCTCAATATACTTTCATACATTCGTAGTATATTCTATTATCTTCTTTATACATTATTTTGTTGCTATACTAGTATTAAGTATGCTTAAAATATTATGGAAGTATCAGATGATTATATCATGTTATTGTTACTATTGCATTACGATTGCAGTACCATTCTTCGTCTTACTTTTACTATGATTATTGTGACATTGTTATTCATTCTACCAGTCAAGCAATATATTATTACTATATTTTATCGAATGGCCATATTTGTATGTTGTATCATTATATGGCTATTCCCATATGTTGCACTGTTTGGTATTATTTTCAAGTATCTTGTTGTACTGTTCTATTCATACATTGTAATATTGCTATGTTACTACATTATCGTATGATACTCTGATATGAATAGAATACTGGTATGTTATAGTGTTTTTGCATTCTATTCGTATATTGCTATCAATGGAAGTTCGGTATGTGTGGAGGCACAGCCGTGCCGCCGTGTCCAACTGCCATGCTTGGACCCCGACATCATCATCATCTCTGCTCATGTGCTCTCAAGGCAGAGAAGCTTGCGGTAGTATTAGGGTTTAGGGTTTAGGGTTTAAGGTTTGTGGTTTAGGGTTTGGGGTTTCGGGTATGAGAATCTCGTGGCACACCTCACGCCTTTCACTGCACGGCCCATCTCATCACTCTAAGGGGAAATTCTCCAGACAATGGCCGGGGATGCTCGGGCTGCTGAAGGGCTCCTGCTCTTTAGGTGCGGCTAACCCGTGCTCTCCTCTGAGTTTCTCCGGAGCCTGCGAAAACACTGTGGGCTGTGGGTTTGGGGTTTAGGGCTCAGGGTTTAAGGTTTAGGGTTTAGGGTTTAGGATCATGATGCAGTGCAATGACTGATTGACTCTCTACATCAGTCTTCGTCCTCACTTTTGGCGCAGCAACCTCTGCTCGAGTGAAACTGGACAGCTCAGCAAAACCTGAGATGGCCAATGAGGGACGTTTTTCGGAACTGCGTGTCTCCTTGCTTGTGCAGCTCTAGCCGTTAGCCATGAGGCCACACTTGCGCCACAAGGGTTTCGGCGAGTTGTGGTCGCAGTCTGCCTGATTGGGATTGCAGCGACTGCGTGGACAGGAGTGGTTCTCACGAACTTGATTTGCACTGCGGCTGTCTCCAAGCCGAGGGAGGGACAGCTGCTCGACAAGCTGCCAAGGCCTGCATGCACAGGAACCTGTCTGCCCCTTGGGCATCTGTCAGAAGAACGCAAGTATGCTCTGACACAGAAACTGTCGGTGCCTTCTCGGCAGCAGCAACTGACGAGAATTCGGCAAGTGCCCCTGTTGGGCCCCTGTTCAGACATGAGGTCAGGCAGCCATATGAAGCTTCGTATACAATGTGAGTGGAGCGCACCTGCCGGTGATGTGGTCGAAGGTGCAGTATACCCGAATGGGCGGTGCCTCAATCTGCTTGAAGCCAGAGGGACAGTGCAGAAGCCAACAGTGGTGTGTCAGCTCTGTACTCTGTAGAACACGAGAGCTGGGCTGTCTTGGGGCACAACTCCGCCAACCGGATCGCAAATTCAGCCTGTGCTTCTCCTTGCAGAGCAGCCATCTTCCTGGGAAGCCGCCAGCTCTGTTGAGTGTTGTGCTTCCGAGCCATTGTTGAGTGTGCCGGAGTCCTTTGCGACCACAGGGCATCTGCTGGTTTTCTGGAGATGGCGCATCGGCATTCGCCATAGAATAGCCACCTGTTGAGTGGGGTACTGACGAATCTCGACGCTCGGCAGCTGCTTCACAGTCTGGTTCTGCCCACTTTGAGCCTGGAGCGTGTTAGATCTTCGAAGTCCTCGTGTCCGAATCTCCTGCCCGTGTCCGCTCACATCCAGGCTGTGGATTTAGGATTTCAGAAACTTTGGCTGGCAAACTGATTCGGGAATTCTTTGTTTGTGTTTTGGATTTTTTTGACTTCTGGAAGGGTTTGGCTCTTGTCCCGGAAGCTGATTCTCTACACCTCCATTTCCTCTATATTTCATAGGAAAACCTTTCTTCACATTGTACTAGGATTTTCTCTATATTGTCATAGGAAAACTTGAGCTCTTTGTTTTCAAATAGGACAACCTCCATTTCCTCCAGATTTGCTTCTTCTGTCATGGGAAAACCTCAATTTTCTTTGTTTTAAGATCGGCAAACCCCTATTTTCTTTCCACTTCAGTGTTCTTGCTGTGGAGGTCTGGCGCGTCTTGTGCTTTCGTGGTGTGGAGGCCAGGCAGTTTGGCTCTTGTGGAGGCCGGACGCAATTTGTTTGCTCTGTGGAGGCCGAGCGCTAAACCCAAAACCCAAAACCCAAAACCCCAAACCCTAAACCTAAACCCTAAACCCCAAACCCTAAACCCAGTGGATGCTGGGTGCGTTTTTGCTGCTGTGGAGGCTCGGCATTTTGTTGTTGCTGCGGAGGATTGTTCGCTGTGGAGGGATTATTGAAGCAAGCTTGAACGGCTTGCAGGGGGGGTTGGGACAAACACAATGCTCACAAGATGCTTTCAAAAAGAATCATATCCTTTGATGCAAGCTTGCACGGCTTAAAAAGCAAGCGGGTTGCCGGGGGGGGGGGGGGGGGGGGGGGCGGGGGCAGCAGCAGTCCCCTCCCATTTGCAAACACAATGCTCACATGATGGGTTTCAGAAAGACTCCATGCTCTGAAGCAAGCTTGCACGGCGCAAGGCAGCCCCCGTCCCCCATTTGTAAACACAAAGCTCGCATGACAAGCTTCAAAAAGACTCATCTACTTTGAAGCAAGCTTGCACAGCTAAACCAAGCGCGAGGGTTGGAGGAGGTCCTCGCATGATGGATTTCACTCGAACTCGAACTCGATTCCGCAGCGGTCTGGTCTGACCTACTAGCTAGCTGTAGTTCATGACATATGTCACGGCCGCTCTGTGGCGGCGGCTAACAGCTTCGGGTATGGACAGCAAGAGACGTCCCGCAGGAACCGGAGTTCAACTAGACTGCAGGCAAAACGGTCTCAAGCGCAACAGGGCCTACCTGGACCTACCGTGAACAGGAAAGAAGCGCGTGCTCACAAACTCAAACGGACGGTGTATGTACAAGGGATACTATTCTACGGCCGGTCTCACAGTTCGCTCACTCACAGGGCTAAACAGTGTGGGCACATTTGTGCCGCGAATGTCCTGGGGCCGATGAGGGAGCGGCACCCCCGTGCTGATGGAGCAACGCATGACTGCATATGGTGGCATGGTTGAGAATAGGACTCGGTACACTAAAGAAGACGAGCACAAAAACACTCGGGGAGAGTGTAGCTATCTCATTTTCGCATCGCTCAAGACTCCGTAGCAGGGCGACCCGGACATGAAATGCCGGTATCATGGTTCTGTGGCCGAAAAGTCGGCTTCACATGTGCCTTCCCTGTACATAGGAACAGAGACAAAGATTCAGACAGGGTTGCAAGCCTGTCCCCCCGTGCACCCTAGATGGGGGTGCACCCCCACTTTTGTGAGAAAAATAAGCTCTCATCGTCAGGCCGATCCGCCTTCCCCAGCAGGGGGCCTGCGGATGCAGCCAAGCACATAACAGTTGGACTGGATTTCGGGGCTTAAGGTTTCAAGCCTTTCCGATGCGACACCGTCGTCCATGTACCAGGCATCTGTCCTGCCCGGTATCAAGCCAACGGTTCTGTAGTGCCCTGTGAGAACTGTTTCACCCAGATGCACAATGATGGAAATGAGGTCATAGGCAAGCCAATCACACGCTATGCTGCTTTCATTTCTGAAGATCGGCAGGTGGACACAGCGATTGTGGAATGTAAGAGGCACACGGGTCTTCCTCGTGACACCATTGGTCGTGGTATATCTAGGTAGAACAAGGAAAATGTGAGTCGGAGCTGTGCATAGCGCATGCGGTGGGCCTGCAGGTGCCAGCTAAGGATGAGGGTGTCCAGCTCCCCGTCTTGGATACCTCCAGGTGCTGCCAGAAGTAGCAATGGTGCAGCGGGCTCCCTGATTTCAGTAGTGCATCCCTCCTCAACTGCAACTCTCGCCTCCCAGTGAACGAGGCTATCAGTCCAAGCAAGCTTAGGGATGATGAACTGTATGAATTCACTCACGTCATGCTGTCTGTTGGGCTGCGCCCAGCCTAGCATGTACATGCGGAGAAACATGGCTGCATCCCAGTGCGTTTTGGCAAGTGCCTTCTGCCAAGCATCAGGTATGCGGCTCCCCGGCCTGAGCTGTGCTTGCCACAGGGTGGCAGTAATGACGGCGTTGATGTAGCAAGTGTTGCCACTATTCTTAAGCTTGAGGCGAGAGACACTCGGCACACCAGCTGGTGGCCGTGCACTTCCTGCAGCGCTCAGATGTTTTCCAGGGCCTTTTGCAGTGCCATTGCCAGTCCGTGGCGTTGCTGGTTTGGCGGCTGCAGTTGCGCTCCCACCACATTCCACACCGCGCAGTTGGCCAACTGTCGCAGTTTCTGATGCAGGATGTTTGCTCTCGGATCTCGCATGGCTACTTCGATGAGGAACACTGCTTTGTCGCCTTCCTGGGGCTCTTGCTTGGGACGCCTTTGGGCGCAGAACCTGGTGACCAGATCCGGAAGACACAGCTCGGCGACCTGGTTGATGAGCTCCGTCGCCTCTTCCACCTTCAGGCTCTTGGCTGTCGCCGACGGCTCCACCTGTTTGGTGGCCGAGTTCCACTCCTGATACACGAAGCGCTTCTGCTGGTCGAGCCACTGATGCTTCATCGCATTCTCCACGGCCGTGGGATCTCCCACCATCAGTTGGACTCTTGCCGCGACCTCTTTCAGCAGGAGGCCCAGCGCAACGATTCTCATCGGGGGGACGTTCTCTCCTTTCTTCTGTTTTTGTTGCCATTCCTGCCCCGCCTTGAAAAGCGGCAGCAATATGGTTCCTGGGCCTTGTTGCTGGAGGTGGAAAGTGAAGGATGTGTCCAGGCGTAGACGGTTCAGGGCGTCCTCCTGCTGCAACGACAGATTTGCCAGGAGCGTCACCACCGAGTTCAGGTTCTCGTCTGCAATTTGCCGCCGGCCTCCCCGCTGTCCTCGCCGGGCCGCTTTGGGTCGCTTGTTCGGTGCGTTCTCGGTCTCCCGGTCCATTTCTCTCGGCTGCTTCGAGGTCTCTCTCATGTTCGTCGCTAGCCCTGGTAGTAGGTTGCCGAAGACGCTCACCACTTCCGTCGTCATGTTCACAGTGTAGTCCTATCAGGGCACATTGGAAGATCACATTGCATTGGAAGTAATGTCTGGAGGGGGAGGACCTGTCACACCACGGTGCCATTTCGGAGGAGTCGGGGCTTGACCTGTGCACATCGCTCCTCAAGTTTGCCGTTGGCGGTGACTGCCCACACGTCCTTGTGGGCCCTAACTATGTGTCGCTTCAGAGCCGTGGGATCGGCGATCCATCGCTTGCAAACACAGCAGTGTTGCTTGAGGGACGACACAACATCGGCATCTAGCAGACTTTTCCAGCCTTGTTGCCGAGCAACATCAAGAACCAGCTTTTGGGCTCTGGGAGGCGGCTCATTTGCAGTGGCCTCCTCTGGAGCTTTTGGATTGGTGCTAGTATCTGCTTCGGGGCCGACCGCGGCTCCCTAAGTACTGCATTCCGGATAAAGAACAGGGCAGTATCCTTTTTCAATATGTGCTTTAAGCCCAATCCATGCCCCGTATTTGAATTTACAGAAGGCACACTGGGGCAGACCATTCAGTGCGTGGTTTGCCGGATCAAAATTGAGCAGTTCTGGCTTATCTTCTGGGTGCTTCCATGCCTTATGCTGTCGGAGGCTAGTGATAGTGCGAAATTGCTGACTGCAATGCGGACAGGTATAAGGGTCTGACTCCTTATCTTCAGGAAGCTGCTCACCTGCATTCATCGAATGGAGTGAGTTGATAGCCAGCGCGAGCTGCGCCCGGACCTGTGGAAGGGCCCTAATGTCGCTGGGGCACTCTGCTGCAACTGTCTCAAGTGCGTCATGCATTCTCTGGCCTTGGTGAGCGAGCGCCTGTAGGGGGTCCTCAGCATTGAGATGCTTCTGGATCTGTTCATTGGTCACTAGGGTAAGATGCGCCGGCTTTTTGGCAATAGCCCGCATCTGTCTGGCAGCCATTGCACGAAGATGCTTGCGTCCTGTGGGTCTAACACCCACCGCCAGTAGCCCGTGCGCTGCTGAGCTCCACACCCCGGCTCTCCAGATTTGATACCTGGGACGGTTGTGCGTTACGCGTCTAGAGTTGATGGCTTTGCGAAGCTGGCTATATTGACCCCTCGCCTTACGCATACGTAGCTGAACAGTTTTCTCCTGGGCATCTCTATAGGAAATGACGGTACCAAGGTACTGATGTGTTTTCCTGAGGGGGATCAGAATCTGCTCGCCGTGTTGCATGAAGGCAAGGTGTGGGAGTTTATCCTTGAAGACTTTAAGTTTCTGCAAAATCCTAATGGCATCTGCTCCCTTGGCGTGACACAGCACGACCGATTTGGTTGCGCTGAGAGTCATACCGTGGTCGTTAAAGGTTTGCACGACTTTTTGGATGCCGCTAATGGCACCCAGAAGGTCTTCGGCGCTTTTTAACGTCCATGCAGCTAAGGCGTCGTCGGCGTAAAAAGTGAACAGCTGCGTTACCCAGTCCCAGCCTAGGCGCTCCGCTAGTGTGTCAATGATAGCAATTGTGTGTGCCACAAACAAATACGGCGCGACCGTACAGCCTTGTTTGATGCCTCGCGTGGTCGTGACGTGGTCTTCATGAACGCCCACTGAGCAGTGATACCTTGCCTCAAAATGGAACTGCATAAGAAGTTGCACCAGCGTTTCGGAGACCCCTAGGCGTCTCAGGCTAGTGGCAAGGGCAGTGCGAGGTACATTGTCGAACGCCCCCTCAAGGTCAAGGGAGAAGCATATGCCTCCTGCGCATTTAACCTGGGTAGCTCCGGCATGAAGGTCATATATGCTTTGTTTGCTCAGGGTCGCATACGCACGTGCCTCTCTCAGGTGGTTATGCACTCTCAGTAAGGCGTCTAGAACCCCTCTGCCGGCAGTATATGCAAATTGCGGTCGAGTGACCAGCGCTTCCTCAAGAAGTGGTCGGATGTGTTCTCTCAGCAGAGCACATACCGATTTCGAGAGAGGGTGGGAGAGTCCTATGGGACGAAGCCCGGACGGGCGGCTGGGGTCTTTCTGTGGTTTAGGCAACCATACGAGGTATGTGTCTTTCCACACGTGTGGGATGACGCAGAGGGAATCCTCCCCCCAGGATCGCATCAGGATGGGTTCCAGTGTTTTGGCTACCTGGTCACGGCACAATCTCCAAACTGCTGCCGGGGCCGACATCTTCGGCACCCCTTTGCGAAATGGTAGTTTTCCTAGGGCCCAAACGAGGTCTTTGGCCTGAACAAGAATGGGTTCAGTGACTCGGTGATTGGGCAAATAGTCTTCTCCTTGACAAAACTTGTTTCTGCTGCTTAATGAGCTCAGCCAGTTGTTCTTTGGGAGTGAGGATTTCTCCCTTTTCGCTGCGAATGTGTGTGCGCGCGAAGGGTTTCCAGGGAGCTAATTTTCTAGCGCTCATCCACACTTTCCTTTGATCACCCTTAGCGGCAGCAACTTGTAGGTCCTCGGCGACAGCCTGCAGCTTTTCACGCTTAATTTTCTTGGCAGTTTGTTTCATCGCTTTAGAGGCCACGCGAAACTCAGTGTACTTTTTCCATTTCCGGAGAGTTTCGATTAAGCTGTTCGCTTTGGTGGATTTCCATTCCTTGTACTTAGCCCACATCTCTTTCGCGGTGTGCTTAAACTGCGGATTCTGCGAAACGCGGTTGTCAACTTCAGGTTCGGGAGGGTAGACGGTTTGCATGTGTTCTTTCATGATCTCATCCACCTGCCTCGTAAAGCTGTGAAGATGCAAGTCAGGGTCCAGCTTCTGAATATCCGCGTCGATGAGGTGCTTTAACTTCTTAGCCCGATCATCTGCCTGCGCAATGGAGTCTTGGATGCATTGCCTAGACGCCATCGAAGGTTTGACTGGGTTCGGGAGACGACATGGCGCGACTCTACGGATGTGAGCCTGCACTGGGATGTGGTGATTGGCCTTCCACTTTCCGAGGGCGACTTGATGCATGGGTCTGCTGTGTCTAGCAGTGCGAGTCGCGTGCTGAACCCTACACGCAACGAAATCCAATTGTGTTTTGGTGCCTTGGTGCACGCACGTATGTGCCGGAGTGCAGTTCCACGTATTGAGGAGAGTGAGGCCGAAGTCCTGGAGTATTCCGAGAAAGTCATCTTCGTCGGGCGATCCCTCTACTTTGGCTACAACGGCACTACCTATCAATCCCCTCGAGGTCTTGATGGAGCAGTTGAAGTCTCCCGCAATGATCAAGTCGTTCCGTTGTGGACTCTTCATGATGCTAGACCGTATCGCATCCCAGATTGAGGCCCGAGCTTTCAGGTTCTCGGCTTTGTCAATGTTTGTCCTCCACACATGCTGGTAGACATTCAGAAGATCGGAGCCGTTCTGTTGGTGATGCAGTCGAACCGAGAGTACTCTGCCTTGCCGAAGAACCCTGTAACTAACATTATCTTGCTTGCGGACATTCTGGTGAATCAGAGTGGCAACTCCTGAGCATTTGTCTTTGCCTGTAGCCCCTGAGGAGACGACGAACCAGGGGCCGGACGAGAAAGTGCGGCACCCCTCCTGTTTCCAGTGTGTTTCTTGCACGAACACAATGTCAAAGTCATCTGGTTTCTCACTTAACCATGACATGAGTTCTTGCCAGGCCGCCTGCGACCCCCCGCTCATGTTCCAGGTGAGACATCTAAGGTGAGATGCTTTGTCAGATTTGGGATGCTTTGTGGGTTTAGCCGGCCGGTCATTCGGCCCCAGCTGGTGTATGCCCCCTGTGGTTTTTGTCAGTGTTTCCCTAGTGTACCATGTGCCCTTATAGTGAGTGCCGCCTGTGGCATAGGCTCGTGCGCGAGCTCGTCGCAGCGATCTCTTGGCGATCCACCCGATGCTGTTGTGGTGATTACGTATTGCCTGGCCAGTGTCTTCGCCCATTCTATTGGACTGTTGGGGCCGATGTTGTGTGGCTCCCACCACGGTACTGGAACCCGTGGTAACCCTCACGTCTGCTCGACCCCCATTTGCTGTCACGAAGCTTCCACAAAGGATAAGAATCCACATCCAGAAGAGACTTCGAAAGCTTGGGGCCCAGCCGCTGGACTTGGGACCAGCGCGGCTCGGTGATGTGCGTCTGGCGGGCTCACCCATCTGTGTTGTAAGTATTTAGTAGTGCACGTGGCATGTGTGCTGAGGATGTAGGGTCTCCTTCTGTAGCAACCTCTGATTCTCCTGGTGCAGAGCCATTTAGTTAGTCTATCTCTTTGCAACGATAGAAGCCTGCCTGCATAACCATTCCCACCGACCAAAAACACTCCCAGCAGAAGAATGTGTCCCCATCTTAACCTAGCGTACTGACTCTCGGGACCTGGGACATCTCGTTGATCATAGTCCTGCAGCAGAGGCGAGGGGTTGGTGCGTATGCATTGGGTAGAGGAGACGGTGCAACGGATGCGATGATGCAATACAACCCCCGTGTATGCTCTCTGAGCTGCAGTGCGGTCTTGGTCACGGTCACTGGGGGCCGAAGATCGGCTTCCCCTGGGGGACCGGAAAGAGTGAGACCGAACAATGGCCTGCATGACGATGTCAGCTGCCGGTGGCCCCTCTGAGCCAAAAACTTCTTCTCCCGATGCCAGGATCCTGACGGCCTTTATACAATGCGGGGCCAGCTTGCCATCGGCACCCCGGGTTAAGTAGTAGCCGTTCATTGAACGGAACCAAACGGCCCCCGATTCTTTCGGGGAGAGTATGATTGCGATGTCACAATGCGCGGGGTAATTCCGATATTCACTTCTGTCTACTGAAACACAATGAATGTGTGTCCGGGACTGGGAGAGGCCTCCCGTGATGACGCCCTTCGCCAAGATCGAGCCGTAGAAGTCCCAGTTGGTTGCATGGAGGACGTACTCCGGCAACTCGGCATCCCCAAGGGGCCGCATGACCGCTTCATCACGTAGTCCTTTCTTGGAGTGACCTTGAACCGCCCTGATGTAGAGATCGGCACCGCGCCATTCGAGCGCGAAGCGTTGCTTGTCGTTCCAGTAGACCACCGAGCGGATGTAGTTGAG